CCTACCCCTTTATTCCCCCGCCCCCCCCCCCCCCCCCCCCCCCGCCCCCCTCACACCAGGTTCGCGGCACCAGAGTCTTCTGCCAAGCATCTTAGCCCTTTGTTGTGTTAGGATCTATGGAAGAACACACTTGTGCTCTTACTACATCACTTCAAAGTTACACTTGCTTGCTCCTTCCTCGACCCCAATCCTTAATGCAAGCCCCAACTGTTGATGTTGGGGGTGTTGTTTTCCCGAGCTTCTGCTGATTTTCGTAACCATTTTTTACTCGTGCAAGTGATGGAACCAAACTAGTTGATCTGACTGTAATATTATTCAATGACCTTGCATCAATCTGTAGATCCTTTTCCAGCTTGGGGGATGCACCACCTTCCGACCTAGTTGCACATTTTGTGGGTGCTCTACCAGCGGTCTTGATGTAGCTCAAATCATTTTTCTTCCCACTAGGCTTATGTTCCCGTTGTGGCAGGCCTAGAGTCCTGACTGTATCATGGTGCCTGGTTCTGAAGAGCAAACTCCCTGATTTTTCCATCGAGGATATCAACTTTTGGGGTTTCATTGTCTTCTGGAAAGGAGTCTTTGTCCATTGTATCTTTCCACCATCTACATTTTGTGTCTTCAGAGCACTGCCGTAGCTTGTCATCTCAAGTAGTATCTCAGCAGCAAGCAGTTCACACGGCGAATAATCTGTTTTACAGACAAGTATATGTTTATTGATTTGCTTTTTTTTACCAGGAAAAAGGTAATGCTAGTTACATTGTCTAAGTTCATAACGTCAGAAGATATTTCACCAAGATACATGATAGGAATATCTATAAGAAAGCATATACCTTGTTCTACACTTAATCGCACAATAAATTGCAACTATGAGAAAAACCATTGTACTTTCCAGAGGAGACTAAAGAACACGACAGACAAAACAGCAATTGGATAGCATAAGCCGTGGAACATTTAACATAGAATAAAATAATAATTAGCATATCGTTTTGAAACACATACACCCCAGATATCAGTAGTAGCCAATTTAAAGAGTGAGGTTTGCACTACTCATGATAAGTTGTGCTATTTGGAGATCATTGATCATATTCTCAACCAAGGTTTAAAAAACCACCTGTACCAATTAATACGGGTCGGGTTTTACTAGTTTAAGCCATGAACAGTACATGGACTGGGGAATTTCACTTTGTCCAGATCAAAATAGAAGTTACCACCAGTAAATGCCGAACGGTTTGGTCAAAATTTATTGGTCCGAACCAAGGTTCATATTTGGAACCTTAATCATATTAAGTTGTCCTAGTTGGGAATTATTTATCATATTCTGAACCAAAGTTCAAAAGACCAATCATACTAGTTAATACAGCTGGCATTTTACTGGTCCAAACCATGAGCACACGGACTGAGCAATTTCACCTAGTCTAAGTTGAAATAGGAGTTACGACCAGTACATTTAACATTACCAAACAGTCTGGTCAAAATTTAACCAATGTACATAGATGCACCAGGCAGTAAACCTACGACTCCGTACATCTGTGGAACAACCATCTCCTTTACTTTCATTTTCTTTCCCACTTTTCCTCTACATTTTTCTCTCTCTCATGCATCCCTCTCTTCGTCAACTAACTTGTCGCCAAGTCACTGCCACCACCTCCTCTCCATCATGTTGTCATGGTCTCCTCACCTTTGAATGTCAAATAATAAAATAATATTTTTTCTTCCTTCTTAATTGTTAATTTACTAGCACAAGGAAGACAGGTTTTGTATTTCCACATTTGTTCCTAGAGGATAGGGTGTTGTGGATCCCAGGAGAACGTGGGATTAAAATGATGCATTGGCTAGGACTAAAAACTCAGTCACATATGCCTCTAACCTAAACCGCACGCCTCGATCGCCCCCAATTCAATGCTAAAGCAGATGAGGGACATGCCTCAAGCACACTTGATTTGAGGACCATGAGCCTCAGGCAAGGTGAGGATCTGTTTAGGGGGTTCAGTGCCCCAAGCAACTAGGCATGCTTTAACTGCACCTTTCAAAAGAGTGCTTGCAGGTTTACCAATTACTTCCATTTACTAAATCTATTTGGAGAATGATCTTTCATACACTGGAAAACAACTGTTTCCCAATAAAATATTCTAGTTTCTGGTGTGGTTGGAGGAAAAGAAGAATAAAAAAAATCAAATATTCAGTTAAGATAATCTATTTGTCACTCTTTCCCAAAGACTAGGTAAGAATTTATAAATGTAAACCATGTCTATAAAGTACTGAAAGTACCTCTGCTGGTTGTTTTTTTATGGAAGAGAAATATCTTTGCAAAGATTTCCTTTTGTACTTTGCCAGTCAACATGTGATAATTAACAGAAATTAACTTACCAGTCAAAGATTTGCCAAGAATCTTACAAGACAAGGGCATAATGACGTGATATGAAATAAAATTTGAAGGAATGCAATCAAAATCAGAGTTGTTTCTAGCACATTACCATGTTTAGATATCTCCAAAGTAGATAGACCCCATAAATTCCGGTCATTGTTTCCATCATCATCTTTGCAAGGAAGGCAAGAACAAACAGCAGAGCAGCAATGTTTGTTTATTGTATGCTGATCTTTCTGGGCAACATCAGTATTGCTGAACTGAGATGTAGATCTCACTTGATCCAGTGAGTGTGAATCCTTTCTTTGGAACTTCAAACTAGCTTCAGATCCAGAAGTTCTAGGTAAGAAACTGTCTTCATTGTCACCTTCTAGGTAAACATATGATGAGTTTGTGTGCTCCCCCATCAAATTAAGCCTTTTAGAAACAGACAAGCAAGATTCTTTTTCCAACCCCCTGTCATCTGGAGTATTGCTTTCAAGAGTTGACATAGGAGACACCATATTTGATGGTCCATCGTATGGAAGCTTTATAGACGAATCCAAAGGATCATCTTGATGGACACCACTCTTTTGTAAAGGATCTTTATTGCTATCAAATGTTAGCAATTCCAGATCTGAGAAGCAATGTTGGTTGTCTCTCGCAAGAACAGAATTGCTGGCGATTCTAAGCCACCTACCTTGAGATGTGTTCCTAGCTGAAACTTGTTTAGCAGTATCAGTAATGGGTTTGCAAGCTCCATTATGATAACTAGACCATAGAAAAGGAGGCAAGCTAGCACTTTGACAAGTTTTCTTTGGTAGAGTGGTTTTCAAAAGGCTTGAAGTCATGCTTAAATCTGAAAGAAGGGTACCGAGATCCTGGACTGGAGGAAGAACTAAACTCTCTAGAACTTTTTTTGGCTGATATAGATCAGCACCATCCAAGTTAGGATACTGAATAGGGAAAAAAAAATTAAACCAATTGTAAGTATTCATATTAGAGACAAAAAACAACAAGAACATCTAAACTGACCTTAGCTGTGGATGCTGATTCATCAACATCTTTACCATTGTGGTAACAGTCTGACATGCTTGATGAGGAACTAGGTTTCATGAGGCATGGAGCTGATTTTCTGTTATCATTGCTGTCTGTTGCACAATTATGTGGCAGAATAGAGAAAGCCTTTCTCACTGACGTAAATAAATTTTCATTGACAACTGGGGGTTTCTTTCCTTTTTCTGCATTGATATTACAGTATTTATAACTACCATCAAGAAGCTCATGTAAGACCGGCTCATCCATATGCTTTGTAATATCACAGAGATCTGACCTCAGGCCATATAATCCTAAATGGATAAGACAAGGTGCAATAGTAAGTTTCACTTCATTGCATAAGATCATCTTCAAAGACAAAATATGTAGCTCCAAAGACATTTCAATGAAGGGATTCAAAATCAAATTAATTTTTAGCTTTCAGTGTCGTTTTACTCGTATGTGTGACAAAAGATAGTAATTCAGTTCCTTTTGATGCTTATATCATTTACTTCAGACCCCTGGTAACCAGCTATGTTTCAAAGGCAGAAAACCTGAGAATGGCTGCAAACTAAGACATGCACATAACACACATCATTTCCCTTTTTAGCAAGTGTTATGTACTATCTGTAGTACATATCACATATGTACTTGCATATATTAATGGAATCAAGTAGCAAAAGTGAATCAATTTTTCATGCTTAACAAATCAGGGTCATCTGACATGCAGTGGATAAAAAAATAAAAATATTGAGTAATCTTACCATGATAACCAGAGGACACAATGCTGAACAAAATAATTTAGAAACAAGATACACCTAGGATATAAACAAGTACAAAAGTATATATAAAAAAAAAGGTTAGTTGATTGCATACCTAGGAGGTTGTTTCCTCCACAATTAGAATCAGAGCTAGCAAATCCAGACTTTGATGTAAAAGAATCGTATCTAGTTTTTATTCCTGATCTGAAGTTCTTCCTATCATTTCTCTTGCCATCCAAACCACGCTTTGGCTTGATCATCCGTGCTTTGTCTGAATAATCAGATTAAGTTTAAGAACAAACATATGCAAATATTGTAGGCTTGTAGCAAATCATATCAAGTATTTAAATAACAAAAGTTACCTAATGGACTTTAGGAATCTAAGACCAGGCATATCATGATAATGGTATTCTTGTAAGACGAACTATTTTCAGATGGTTTTATAGTGTTTTGCAGTAATGTTGGTTCCTGACTGATAACAGTGTGGTAACATATAAGTGGTAGGTGTTGTTATCACCTTTGTGTTAACTATTCCCAAATATCCACACGTGTCCATAAGTCTTCACAACTATAATATGGATGAAGAACTAAATTATTGTTCACCATAAAGTGGACAGATTGAAAAACAAATTACTTTTCCTTCATTAACAGGAAAATTCTGAACAAGAAAGATGCATCAAGCAAAGTAGTAACTGAAGAACAATCATTTTGATGTTTATTAAGATGAACCTCTTCATACAACAATTCCTGTCCTCTCTCTTTATCTCTCTCTCTATCTTTCTCTCTATAATGGGTGATGGGCTGATAGCAAACTATACTGAACCATATCGAGTGATAATATGCTGTCCCATATTGATATTGTACCAGACCAGTCACCGACTGATATTGGAACAAGACCGAGAATTTAATTCATGACAAGAAATATTTGTACAATTTGAAATGACCATATATTTTGAACTCAAAACTGAAAATGTTATTTCCTTAGTAGTGTTTCTTTTACCAAAATCAATATGTTTTGTAGGTATGTTCAAAAAAATAAACAAATAAGCTAAAGAAAATAAGAGAACCAAGCAAACTGAGCCAGGTATAACTGAATTTGGACAGGAACAGAATCATGCCTGGCTGTTTGGAGAGTCAATCTTAGGCAAAAAAAATCTCCATGGAAGCACGCAGAGATAACCAACACTTACTCAGACAACCCAAACGAAGTTCAAATTTCCTTTGGAAAGTAATAGAATTCAAATCTCAAGCAATAAGACAATCACACAAGTGATAACATGATTTGCAATCAAATACAAAGAGGCTCACCATTTCATTCTACAAAATGCATTATACAATTTAGATATTAACAGTTTACCACTTACCAGCAGATGTGGATCTTAATAACTCAGCGTTCTTTTGGAAGACAGTGATACCATCATCAACACGAACATTTCTTGTAGAACTTTCTGGTTGATCAATTCTTGCTCGTTTAAAGTAAGAACAGTTGCTCAACTTTCTATCAGATAGTCTGTCCAATGCTTTGCCTTCATGGTTGGGCAGCAATGAAATCGACATATTTGCTTCTCCAAAGTTGTGCCGTTTACCATTGACTTGACTTTTGAGACCAAGAGGCATGTTGTCATGTGCATGTAGCACAAAATCAGTTTTCTTTTCAGATATCAAACAACATTCTAAAACTGAAAATGAACATTTTCAATCTGCCAAAAACACAGTTTATGCATCATCAGTGCAAAAGTATGAACACCAAATGCCACACTTGCAAGATAAATTTTCAATCTATGTAGCTTTTGGAACTCATGTAATTGAAAAAGTTCTATAGACCAAACGTATAAGAACAAATGAACAAATTCATGCCAGATGTCTAAATAACAAACTTCTTGACCACATGCAGCAAAATTAATCATGAACTGCCACTTTTTAATGCATCAATGAAACAAGGAAGTGTCCTACTTAAAAACAGTATTTCAATACCTAAGCATATATAGTAAAAAATATAATAGCATGTCGGTGTCAGAAACCTATATTCAGCAATGTTATTTGTGTTAGAAAACCATGTCGGTCTCCTTTGCAACCTAGGAGACCAAAGTTCGAGTCATAAAAACAATCTCTTTAAATATTTAAAAGTAAGGCTGCATACATTGACTCTCCTCAGAACCCACATTAGCGGGAGCCTCGTGTACTGGGTACGTCCTTTAGCAATGTTATTATACTATAGTTAGAAACTTGAAGGATCACATATTAAGCAATAAATATTTCAAGTATCTCACATTCATTCAGCTCTCTCTATACCACAGTAATTTGTACTCAAAGGTAACAAAATGGAAAAACAATGACAAACCACACTTCTAGTATGCATACAAGTACTGACCTCAACAGCAAGAAAAGTTAGATTATAGTTTGCAAAATTTTCATAATCCTCCATTATTCTGATATTATGTCTTCCCTTATTGAAAAATACAATCTTTTAATCCAATTTCTTTTCCATCATAATTTTATGAAATCTATTAGAACAACTTCTGTTAACAAAAAGGTAATATATTCAGAGAGTATCAAAGATGGAATGCCAAGCTGATCCCAGCTTTGGGATATACTGTTTTTTAAAAAAAGAAAGAGATGGTCAATGCAACTCACTTGTCTAAGCCTAGGATAGTTTGTTATAGGTGTGCCAGAAGTATGCACATGTGAGGCATACCAAGACTGTAAATTTGCGACTCCACTCTCCTGAGGACCAAGCACCTCAAATAAGACATACAAAAGGGGTATCACCTCGGCCAAAAAATTTCAGCACATATAAGTTGTGACTTTGGGGGTAGAGGCACATATGTGAGAAGAAAAGCCTGTAAGCATTTGAAGAGAAGGAAAAGAAGAAAAAGACATCTGGAAAAGAAATTCTTAAATTCTTGGCATTTGTTAATGCCTTTATTTTTCAGTTATTTTCTTTCAAAATGACCGATGATAATTCTCTTGCTTATAAATATGTTCATTTGTGAATATTTTTTTCCGAATTTTAGTATTGCTTCTAATCTTCTCTTAGTTGACAAGAATTAATGCCTGAACAGACTTTTATGTCTTTGTCAACCTCACTACAAACAATTGACTCTAGGGCTACAAGAAAAGATCAATTTCTAGGAACAACTCAAGGTTGGCCCAGCGTTCAAATTGGAGCTTGGTTCATTTGTGAAGCAAGTCAAGCCTGAACAATTTATTACTCTTTCGTAACTTATCAAGTTAAAAGTAAATAGGGCCTAAATCACTCATGTCCACTTGTTAGGAGCTTCTAATCCACCTCTATCATAAAAGACCCAGCTTTATTCTGCGTATAGATATCATTAGTGGTACATTATACAACTTAGGTTTTTCATCTCAGCCATTTATTGACTGAAGAACAAGTTAATAATTGTTGACCCCAAATAATTAAGACATTACAGAATTATTATTTCTGTTGGTCAAGAAATAGTGTTATAGATCAAAAGAGACAGATTTTGGAACCTAAAATTTGCATTGCAACTATGTTGTCATTCTTTCTCTCTTCTCCATGCCTCACAGCAACATCCCTCCTCTTCTTCCTCCTTTCCTCTTCTCGTTATTCGTAGACTTACAGCTGCCACCTACCACCTACCACCTACCGCCCCCCCGCCCCCCCGCCCCCCCACCACAACTCCTCCTCCTCTCTCTCTCTCTCTCTGCTTCTTGTACTCAACGTTTGCACTCAGCATACACTCTGGTCACCTGCAAGTGCCATCGACATTTGTTCAAGTCCCTATATAAGTCCAACTCCAACTGTTTGATTTGACCAAGCTGAGATTAATCCATGGGTTCGAGCCCTCCTTGAGCTTAAACCAAACATAGATAGTTTATTGAACTGAGTTGGACACTGAACTCTCTGTTCGTTCTTGTATGGCTCATTACACCCTTCCAAAGCCCACATGTTATGACATGATCCTACCTATCAGATCTTGTAAGCCCTAAGTCCTCTTGCTTGTTTCATTCTCAACAATCTTGCTAGCCCCATATGCTACTAGTCATACGATCTCAGTGGTATCCTCCTATCCTTCTTTCCCTACATCCCTTTCCTCCTTCCACTACAACCGATACTAGAGCAGAGCCATCCACCCCCAGTCTCAACCTCTGCGTACACCAGCTATGCCGCTGGAATGCTCTAAAGCCATGCTGGACATTCTTCCTTGCAGGGTAAACTTTTCCTTCTCTTTCTATGAATCTTGCCGTGGCCACGACCCTTCGTCTGCTTGGATTTTGCATCCAGAGATAAGAGTAATCCATTACTCCTTAAACTTGATTAAAGACACGCGGCAACAATATTAACAGCAGTAAGCCACACATCGCCAATATTGACAGGAGTCCTCCTACAGACACACATCGGAAACAATACAGACCCCTCGATTCTTATGCACTAACCAATATCTCTCGAAACAACAACAGATTTCAAATCGCACGATATCGAACACGAGGGCGAACAGTTCCAACATCTTAAAGGATAGGAAACCGTAGATCCAAATATCCAGGACGACAAGGAGCAGAAACCCTAACATCATCGCGACAGACACAGTCGATCACCTCCGGAGCAAGAAATCAAACAAAGAAATCAAGAAAGCGTGGGTACCTGCTTGTGCAACTCCCGCCTTGTCATCGTCGTGGCTGCTTCTACAGGTGAGGAGGTGTCGAAAGATCAACTCCGGAGGTAGACTCCTCTCTCGGCCTCGCTCTTCCAAGTGGTGGCGGCCGAACGGAGTCGATGCCTTGCCTGGGGATTCACCGATCTTGAAATTGGAATTGGGAGATTTATAAGTTTAGCATTGGGTCAAGATGATATCCGGACCGTTGAAACTAAAGTCCTCAATCCCTACTTCCTAGTACACAGTCAAGCCTCAAATTAAATAATATATTAATTACTTTTACCATTCTACCCATATAAAGTTTCAAAATAACGGTTTTGCTCCTCCCGATTATAATATAATATAAATGTATAAGTAATGAGGACAAATATTGATCAAAAGTAACTTAAAGTTGTTACGAGTTCTCATTATCAATTAGATATTTGATTATTAATGCTGAGTTTTGCAAGAACGTGTGTACGAACTTTAAATATCGAGGAATAATTTCTTAGAAATTATATATACGGGCCCGATGGATTCATTATTAACATGCTTAATTTAAAGAAATTTCATTATAAATAATATCTGCAAAGCAATCATATGATTTTGTCGCCTGTGGGCCCATATCATCCTGATTCCACGACTGCAGAAGTTGTTCGAAGTTGTTCACCAAACGCATCAGAGACCCGTGTTTGCAGTCCATCCGACGGCCAGAATCCATCGGAAACTTCCAGAACAGCACCCTTGACTCGGCAGTCTATATAAACCCATTCCATAGGTCGAATCGCGCTCTCGTTTCTTCGCTGTCCCTCCTCTCGCGTCGGGCTCTCTCGTCCGTAGATTGTGATCTCTTCAAGACGATCGGGAAGGAGGAGCGAATGGCGATCGTAGCCTACGTCGTCTTCACCGGCACTGAATCGCTCATCGGCAACGTCGCCGCCATCCCCATCCACACCCGTCTTCGGTGAGTCATCCGATCGCGGGCTTTTTTCTGCTGCTTTGGATCTGTTTACTGGTGTTTTGATGACCATTTGCGAGGGTATGTATGTTGCCCTTCTCTATCTCAAATATTGCTTTACAGATTGGTCTGCTTCTTTTCAAGTGCATGCTCTTAGTGCATTTTAGATCCAATTTATTGACTACATATTTAGCACGACGAAAGAGTTTAATTAACAATAGTAGATTGATAAAACATGTAACGCTCTGAATGACAGATCGTGGATCGGAGATTACCCATCTAAAATAGCATCCTTCGATGCGTAGAAGACTAATAGTCGAATTTTAGAAGATAATCTCACAATTCATATAATGGGGCCCAAACTTTGACAAAGCCGAGCAAAGCGAAGTCAATGTTTCATGCTGTGACAAGCCCCCGACAAATTAGCTTCACTCTATAGACTTAGGAACAACATATTCGCCTTAGGAAAGCCAATACGAAACTGACAGAGCTGTATGAGTAACACAGCGACACGTTCTTACAACTAAATTAAATACTAATTGCTATTGGCCTAACAAATTTTGGTAAGAGAATCTTAACATATTGCAATCAAGCAGAAGCATGATGACTCACAAGTTTTCCTTAGGTACAATCAAATTCTTCATCTACAATGCAGCAATTAAAGGACCTGTCTAAAAAGGTTTCGAGTGGGTTACATCTCATATCCTATTCTTCTTGATACTTGAATAACACCAAATGGATGGAGGAAAGTATCCCCATAGTAAAAGAACTTTGACTTTTCAAAACCTAGCCACTAATATAATATTAGCCCTACATATATTGTTTAGAAGCGATAAACTAAAAGAATTACGGTTGTTATATATCATATGCTATATGAGCAGCCACCAAAATATTTTGTTGCTATGTGTTGCCTTCGATGTTCTCTCAATCTTTTTTAGGAAAAAAGAAAAAATTCTGTATTATTCTTCCCAAACTTTTGCTTTGTTGTATTGTCATTTTAGCATCTGTGCACCTCAGCTGACTCTTTTTCGTAGCCTCATATCTAGATCAGGCACTTCCTCAAACTGTTGATCTGAAGTTTTAAACTCTTAATCTGAAGTTTCATGAAAACACAAGAATTTCCTAAAACCAAGGTTAGAGAAAAGATGGTTTTTGATTTAATCCAAGGTCATAGGCGAAAAAGTTGAAGGTGCTTAGTGGACTAAGGCTCTTCACAAACATTTTGTGAGGAAAATAAGCAACAGTGGCTTGAATGGAATGTGATAGTCTGAGAGCTTGCAAATGAAAAATTTTCTTCTAGTGAGTCAAATAACTAGGTAATGTCTTCTGAATTGGATTCACAGTAGAATAAAGTGATTAAATATACTACAAATGATGGAAATGTCAGATTATGTTTGTGAATATTAACATTTTATAATCATTGATTGTCCCTATTATCTTTTTTAACACTGAAATGTTGCTTCACTTTATGCATAAAAGCCATCATCCAAGGAAAGAACATATTATGCATGGTTATTCATCCACGTGTTTGTATTCTACATATTGTTGTCTTCTAGTATTATACATAGTTCAAATAACTCAAAGACTAGTAGTTATGACTAGCACAAAAGCTTGGAATCGAGACATGTAGGTTCCATTTCTACACCTGTTTATTTTATCTTTTTCATATTTGTGTAAGCTTAGAATGGATTGGTTTATTCATATTTCATCTAGGAAACTATCTATGATAATTCAGGCATGAACATATATATATAATATGTTGCTGATGGCAATTGTGAAATAATTCTTCTGATAAAAATGGTACCAGAAGATACTGATATGGCCTGACAAAGTACACTTTGGCAGGTAACAAGTTAAATCCATTAAATGAAAAAGAAAAATATTTACATAGAATTTTTCATGGTGAAAATTAATTGCTAGAAAGAAGAAACATATCAAATGCAAATCCAAAAAATAAAAGAGTTTGAGCTTCATCAAGACTTTAATGCTTCTGAAAGTCCTTCCAAAACCATTTTTTCATTAATTGGTGTCAAAAAGGATTGATGCCTTGTATAAAGAAGTGTCATATAGTAGATGTTCTTTGCCTTGTAAATATGAGCATCATATTAGTAATTTGTTACAAATGAGAATTTGACAATATGAGGTAATCTTTAAACTTATTACCATGACCACCTCAGACCAAAATTCTTTTTCTACTATATAACATTAAATTCAAAAGGCAATAATGTGAGATCAACCAGTAAGAAGTTTTCAAATCTTGAAACTGTGTCCTGATTGCTATCTACAAAAAAACACACATCCATCATTTCCATCTGCAAATATTTGATTGTTTATATGCAACAAGTGGATGATTTGTAGTCTAAAATATTACATGTTGCACAAAAATATTGGATTACAAATTGTTTTGGATTACATAACTGCTTCACCCTCCATCCTATCATGTGTTTTCTCCTCATTTGCTGTTCCTTCACCTTGATTCGCATAACCATCTCCATCACCTCTGCCATCATCTACTCAACCTTAATTGCAATGGTAAGAATAGTTATGCATGCGGATACTCAAACAATCGTATTAAAGGCGACTGCTTTAGCATTTGCTTTTGCTTACTAATAGTCATTTTTAGTTGGAAGCAGCCAAACTCGCCCAATGAGTACCAACAACTGGACCAAAAATGTAGGTTCATGTCAAACTAGATTGGATTTTGAAGTATCATACAAACATTTTGAAGAGTGTAGATCTTTAGCCTGTTCCTCTTAGAGATTTGAGGGTTATATATATATATATATAGTGGTAATTAAAGTTAGGACTGAGAGAGAAGCAGTCAAAAGAATCATGACTTCCTAGTGTGGTGTCTAAGTTGTAGCCAATGAATGCAACAATCTATTGAGTGATATCTTGCCATCTTCTTAATTCTGGCCCCACGTGAGATATTTGCGGGGGCCATTTAGATACTTAGAGAATTTTTTTTTTCTTAATGTTGTGAATATCGATTATCAGAGTACTCATTTGACATAGTAGCAGAGATGTCAAAATAAACAACCGCAAAAGTTATGCTGACTAAATTAATCAGCTCAGATCTGTGAAAGATCTGCAATGTTAATATATCAGAAAGCAAGAGAAAAATGACTAGTTCAATTTTTGGGGACAATAAAGGATGGAAATCAAGTGAGAAAAGAACCACAGAAGTTTGATAATATCAAAGCCAGTCATTCTCTTCAATGCAACATGACATTTAAAAACAAGGAGAGAAGAAATGGAACAAAAAGAGATCTATTTTTACTCGAGAGAACCAGATCATACCAGCAACTCATCTTCTACCTGTGCTTGACATTCATCCATGTTTCTTTATCAATGCACTCTTCGACAATTCCCCAGACCTCCTCCTCAGCATCTGTTTCATCCCATCAGCCACCCGAACTGCTGGATTTGACTTGTACTTCCTGCAGAATGATATGTGAGCCCTTATGGCCTCATCCACCCCATGGCCCTTCCTTTTACCCCTGCTCAACTCATCTCTCACAGCTTCAGAGCAAAGTCCACACAGCCACTTGCCATCAAAATCCTTTTTCACGCTGCTTATATAGTCATCTGTGCAGTCCTCTTGTAGCCCGCAGCACTCGCATTCAACCGACTCCACTTCCATGCCGGTCTCCTGATCACGCGAAGTATGATGTTGCAGTGGATGTGTTAGAAGTAGTGGTGGTAGCAAATGGCTTCTGTGTCGGTGTGGTGTGTGGTGGTTATCTTGGGCACTGATGGCTGTGTTAGAGGTGTTTGTATGCTTTGAGGCAAGAAGAAGGGCATAGATTAAAAGAAATGAATCACAATTTCCTGCATTTTCTAAGGTAGGACGTGAGACAACGATGGTTGAAGATGTGACAGGAGGGAGGGCCTGGAAATCAGTTCTCTATAGTGTCATTTGTTTTCCTGTCACTGTTGATGGTTATTTGGTTGACAGCTTTCTTTCGTTGGAAATGGTCCTTGGTAGAGATTACAATAGGGCAGATTTGTCCGAGTACTCCTGCCTGTGACCTCCTTAAATCGAATTTTGTTGTGTAGCAAAATCTTACTAATAGTAGAGATAACATTTTGCCTGTGCACTGCAAAGTAAATCAAAGTAGATAAGTGTTAAAACATACCCATTGCCACACACTGGAATTAGCTCTCATAATCTTGTGTTCCCCTCCCACACAAGATTCTGACCATGGCTTTGCATCTTGTTTGACCTTTGGAACAACTTATTGTGATAATAATGCATGTATTAGTTCAACAAAGTGATACACTTGTTCTTTTAGTGAAAACTGACACGAGTCCTTTTTCACAAGCTCTGCATGTATTAATTAGTCTGCCACATCAGTTTTGCATTTATATATGCTTCAGTTCCAAGTTGATGCCAGAAAACATTTCTTTTTTCACTTTAAATCCATGATAACTTGAAGTATTTATATGATAATTCATCCTTCTTAGACAACTCCATGTGAACTTGATCGAGCTGGCCTCTGGCGGATACCAGTTCAGCATGTGAATCACTCCAAGATATGTGCTGCTCAGGAATCACATCCTTCCTTTTCTCTGTCTTTACGCGAATATCCATGTGTATCCCTCCGTCGAGGGTGGCGTGTACTCAACCAAGTATTTGTGGTGCTCTGTGTCAGCTTAACTGTTGCATCACACGCTCCTTAGCAAAGCATCCTTGGAGAAGGATCTGCTTCTCTTTGGGGGGGTCTCATGAGATCATGTTGCTTGGTGGGTGCTTGCAGGCTTCTCGTGGAGAGTGCAGGATGCCTGAGTACTCCTAGTTCAAACGAGTGAATCTGAGCCATGCATAGCAGATTGCAAACCCGAGGTAAACAACTTATAATTCCATCAGTCTGTGTCTTCATCATGATCTGGTTGTTTATATCATCTTTCTCGCTGAATAACTATCTGCCACATCCGTAGTCCCTGGCTCAATGATTGCTCACATGGGTGTTAGCTTGGACTTCAACATCAGCATTCGAGATTGGCATATTTCGGTCCTCTGCACTGACATGAGATGCTCTCCTTGTGGAGCCCACATGCTCCTGCACATCATTTCTCTCTTCAATCATTTGCCTCCTCACCCCATGTCTTCTATGGAATCCTCACTCTAGATGATATTCCATTCCTAACATATTTCGTCAGGAAGAAAAACTAGTTCATAATTTCTTCTGTGCTTCATAACTTGTGAAACCCTTTATTGGAGGATGCCTTTTCCTTTGAGAATAGGACTATCTTAATATGAAGCAAACCGCAAGCACAAGATATCAAATTTACCTCCAATTGAGGTGTATGCTTAAGGGATGAATCTGAGAGAAATGCTGATGGATATGATGACTAAGACACGATTACAATATGCATAATTAATGATTCAAGAACAAGGATCACCTTTTATAAAAGATTATACAAGTTTAATATAAAAATGAGGTTCTCAGTGGCTAGGGGAAGAACAGGAATGACTCGTATCACTTAATCATCTTGTGTCTTGTAGAAAATGTCTAAATGGAAGGAACTTTTCTTACCCAAATCGGGAAAGTGGTCGTGATTAGGATGGTGCTACAATCCATTTTCAACATCAACGATGAGATACTTTGAGATTGTAGATAAATATTATGCAGAAATAATGAGGATGACTAAGAACATTGATGAGTGAAATCAATAAGCGATGGTGGATAAATTCTATCGGTGAAGTTTGACACAGGATGTGCAAAGCAAAAGAGGATGCAACCTCGATCTGAGAAAGCTTTCTTGATGTAATCAAGACAATTCCACAGTTTTTATTTTTAATATATATATATATATATATATATATATATATATATATATGGTATATTTCATACGTTTTTGTCTTTAAATTATGAATTTTTATCATAAATTTATGAAGGTCAAGCACTTCAATCCATGTAATTGGTTATATTAATCTGCAATCACGTTAGCAAGTGTTTAGGCCTTGATGGTTCATTTGGAAATGTGACAATTTGGAATTGGTAAAAAGAGAAGGCATAGTAAGATACATAGGTAATATGACCGATTTATTTGATTAACTACTTATCCAAAGTGTCTGTCTAAATCAAGAATAATAGTTTCGTTCTAGCTTTATAAATCAACCCAATTGGCCTTCTGTGGATATCGATTCCATGATATGAAGTCCAAGTCGAGTCATTCATCATGCTACAGTTTCAATTCCTAGTTTTGATGGATCGGATCAGTAAAACTCCAAAAAAGATAGATGATATAGACACAAAGAAATCCAAACAAAACAATATGATTTGGATGGACCAGATGCTTAATGATCATTTCTAATCTAGTCGTAGAATCCGATGGTGAGACTATTATAAAATATCTTGAATATGAAGAATAAATCTTCTTGGAAATTAATGAATTTTGTCATTTGTTTATAAAAAAAAATCAAATTATCAATTGACTGTATTTTGCTTGGACATCTAAATCCTCCTACAATGATTGATCTAATAAATTGGGTAAATTTTTATACTCCAAAAAGTATGATATATTTTGTTTTAAAGCTTTAAAGTAATAGATTATTTTTATAAAATAAAAAAAAACCAATCACTATATTCTTCCAACTAAATATTAACTTTTAAAAAATTAAGAGTTTAATTTCAATTATTTAAATAATTAGTCTTTACATGCTAAAGTAGTTGATATTTGCAACTTAGTTTGTTTACTTAATATGCACAATGAGTGTTAAAATTGCACGAAAGATAAATGATATGAGATCAATAATAAAATCAATTGGATTGCCGATTTCCCAATATATTAAGTTGATAGGAAAGTAGTGAATCTATTTGTAGACTTTAATATAAGTTATTAATGGACCCAACGCAAGATGTCAGATTGATGATTGATGGACTTCACTTAGTCGCATCGAGATCGAAGGATAATTTATTTCATTCGAACTAAAGATACATCTATAATCTCTTTAATGTCGTAATAATGTTTTATTCCCTTCTTCTCTTATGTTATATTACCTTACAAATAAGTATAAATATTTAGCAAAAATATTTTTGTTTTTGTTTTTCCAATAAAAGTTTACAGTGACATGATACGAGAATAAAAATCAATATAAAATTATAAAAAATAATCCTTATAACATACGATGAAATATTAATGAATCTTAGATTTGAACATTTTACATGTATCAAAAGTTCTCTTTGTTATTGAAGGAAAGCACACAACTAAATCAAAATCCTCGTGACAGTAATCACTTTGCTTTTGCAGCCTTTGTCGTCAGAAACGGAAGACAAAAGCAGTGGCAATAACAAGTGATGACATCGGTCAGCAATCAATAAACATCATTCTTTTGGAATCGGATTCGGATGCCTATTTTTTTCTACTCGATTGAATCCGATAATTACGCATACTTCAAAAAAAGGACCGCTGTCGACCTCATTCTCACCATATTTTTAGTGGGCTGCAAGGCCCAATAAACCCATCGGAAGCGGCCCAAGCAACTGCATGGAGCCTAACCAAAATGGACGTCGAAAACATAATAATAATAATAATAATAATAATAATAATAATAAAATAATTAAAAAAAAAACTTAATCGTGGCAGCCTCCATCATTGTTTTTTTTTTTTCACAAGTTTTTTTTTCCATAGGACATAGTATTTTTATCTTATTCCCGCAAAGCACCTTTTTGTTTTAAAAAAAAATGAGATTACGCTCGTTATCGCCTTCACTCCATCATGGCACCCTCCACAATTATAAAAAATGACAAGGTTGAGTCCCTGAAAAGAAAGTGGGTGGTGTTTTATGAGGGCGATGTTATCATCGTGTACACTGCTTATTTTTTGGTGATAAAAAAATACTATATGTAATGGTACGAGAGAAATATATTATCACTTACGAGACTATGAAATGACCAATAGATTTCTTGCCCTTAATTGGTGCGATGATAGCCTCCTCGATGACCTTGCATATACTAACTTCCACCTCTATCACTCCTCTCATTATCATGCTATATGACTCCATTGACTATGGACCCCTTCACACCCTTTTCCTCTTACATATTAGATTTTTCATCGTGACCACTTCTATCGAACGAGTTGAGGGGAAGGAGGGTTTTCGAGGGCATCGTCGAGAAGGTTATTATTGCTTTGGGGCCATTTGAGGTTGATTTTTAGAACAATAGGCCATAAGAGTAATTTAAAAAATAAAAAAAACGTTCTAAGAGAATAAAATAAAAAATGATCATAATTATAAAAAAACTTAAATTTTTTTTAAAGAATTTATTCATCAATAATAATAATAATAATAATAATAATACTAATAATAATAATAATAAAAAGAAAAAGAAAAGTCCAAAGAGGAAGAGGAGAAGAGGAGAGAGACGGAGAGACCGCAGCGCCCTCGCGACTTCACCCGAAGCAATCCAATGGCGTCTCCTCCTCCTCCTCGATCTCCGCTGACGCTCCACTCTCCCCGCTAAAACCCTCTCATTTCCCATCGATAACCAGTTCCTTCGTGGATCTCTCTCCAATTCCTAGATCTACGGAGGACGACCATTTTTAGAGATCCAATCCTTTTCAACCCCTAATACACACTCTCGAAACCCTCGAGTTTTGCCCCAAAAACGCCATCTTTTCGGCCGCATGGGCCGTCCGCGGCTCCAGAATTCGGCCATAAACCCCATCGAGGAGGAATCTCCGGACGCTGCTGAGGATGGCTCTTTGCCGCCGCTGCCGCCCTCCGGAGGCCCCGCCGCCGCTGCCGACCTCTCCTGCGTGATATGCTCCGAGGTGAGCGCCGTGCTCGCCGTGATGCGCCGCAATGTCCGGTGGGGCGGCCGGTACGCCTCCGCTGCCGACGATCACCACCTTGAGCACTCCCTCGTCCAGTCCCTCAAATCCCTCCGCCGGCAGGTCTTCTCTTGGGGGGACGCCCGCCGCCCGTGGTGCACGATCGAGCCCTCCGCTTTCCTCCGGCCGTTCGTCGATGTTGTCCAATCTGATGAGACCGGCGCTCCCATCACCGGCGTGGCACTATCCTCCTTGTACAAGATCCTCACCCTTGATCTCCTCGAACCAGGGTCCGGGACTGGGGTGGAAGCTGGGATGCATTTGGTCGTCGAGGCTGTCACGAGTTGCCGGTTCGAGGTGATTGACCCTGCGTCTGAGGAGACCGTGCTGATGAAGATTCTCCAGGTGATGCTTGCGATCATGCGGAGCCAGGCATCAATCATGCTGAGCAACCAGCACGTCTGCACGATCTTCAACACGTGCTTCCGGATCGTCCACCAGGCGGGCACCAAAGGGGAGCTTCTGCAGAGGTTTTCACGGCACACAATGCATGAACTCGTCCGCTGCATCTTCTCACACTTGCCACATGTCGAGGATGGTGGTCGACCTCCTTCTCTCAAGCCAGAGGTACTATTCGATACATAGACTGGACAAAGATTTGATATTTGACATTCTCACTTGAACAAACATATGATATGTCCTTGAGTATATTCATTTGTGTGAAACTGTATTTCTTGCTAGTTTTATTTTCATGAACAAGCACTTGATGTGAATATCAAGTTTTGCAGATAGGTGCAACGGACAAGGACCAGGCTTTTGGGATCAAGCAAGTGGAGAATGGAAATGGGAGTGCTGAGCCGACAGACACAAGCGTGAGAGATGACAATCCAGGATCAGAAGCAGAAAATGGTGTGAGAACTATGGTCGAGCCATATGGAATTTCTTGCATGGTGGAGATATTCCACTTCCTATGTTCTCTTTTGAATGTAGCAGACCATATTGGGATGAGTCCTGCAACTAATCAGATAGCTTTTGATGAAGATATGCCACTATTTGCCCTTGGCATGATCAATTCAGCAATTGAGTTGGGGGGACCATCAATAAGCAAACACCCAAAGCTACTCTCCTTGATACAAGATGAATTGTTCAGGAACTTGATGCAGTTTGGCTTGTCCATGAGCCCGCTAATACTCTCCATGGTCTGTAGCATAGTTCTGAACCTTTATCGTCATTTGCGCACCAAGCTGAAATTGCAGCTTGAGGCATTCTTCTCTTGTGTGATCTTGAGGCTTGCACAAAGCCGATATGGAGCTAGCTATCATCAGCAGGAAGTAGCTATGGAAGCTCTTGTGGACTTCTGCCGGCAAAAGACCTTTATGGCAGAGATGTATGCCAATTTAGACTGTGACATTACTTGCAGCAATATGTTTGAAGAACTAGCCAACCTTCTCTCAAGGAGTGCATTTCCCAT